ATTAAAACCTTTTTTATCAGCGTTGTGTGTGATCAACGTTAGGGAAACTTAGTTATTTCTTTTTGTTAAAATGTGAAACCATTAATATTATTATGCCGTGAGTAAAGTAAGTAATGAGAAAGCTCTTCGATATTGGCAAAATGTGTCGTTACATTTGCTAACATATTGTTTTTAGTACAGTTCGCTTCGAGTTTATATAGAGCAGACTGCACTTTTTGTAATTTGTATTTGCTGTAATGGTTTTTGCCTTTGTATGAAAACGGAGGATAAAGATTTGCCGAAATATCGAGTATAGTCGATCAATTAATTTTGATAAAGTATGATTTTTGAAGAAAATAATTCTGCATATTATATTTGTCATAATTACCTAACATACATCTATCCAAATTTGTCTTAATATTTTTTTAATATTATTAATGGTTTTTGAAAATATTTTGTTTGAAAAATTAATTCATCAAACTCATCTAAAATAATTCCTAAATATTTCTAAATAAAGAAGCTATAATAGAACAATGTTGTAGGTGTAATATAAATAACTTGAAATACCATCTATTCTGATTTCTCTCATTACTTTCTTATTATAAAATTTAGTTTTCTTTCTAACATTTGTAATTATAATTTTTTAAATAAAAAAATTAGACATAATATGTCAGGATAATATAAAAGGGTTGTTAATTTTTTATCAATGTTTTGTGAATGTTTACAAAATATCATCTTTAACACATCACTGAGACTTAACTAATCTTTTACTCCGGGGTATTGAAACTTAATTCCATTTAATTCCTTCAGATCAATAACATTATATATATAAAATCGCCGGTCAGAGCTTTTGGTCTGTTGGTTGTTTCCATCCTTCATCGCACAATCATCAAATTGAATTTTATCTGCCGCCTATAAATACTGACTCACGGCTGTATCTATGAATGGCAGGCCAGGTTTTCAATTTTCTTTCGGCTTTCACTGTTACGATGCCATTGTCGCGTTAAACTCACTCAAACAATAAAATGATAGACATAGGAGTGGTCAAAGAATTTACTCAGTTGGAAAAAATACACAAATAGAACTATTGGTTAATGTTATTATTAAAATAGTAAATGAAAATCTAGTGAAAATTTTGATATGTGTAAAAATTATTTTTTATTTTAAATTCTGGCAAAGCTAATATCATGTATTTAGATTTTGTGAAAATGTTTTTTTCATTAAAAAACGACTTGTTTGCAAATATTATATTATGCAAATGAATTTGAGGTACCTTTCTCATATAATCTAGAAATAATTAACTTAAACCTTTGTAAATGCCTTTGTAAAAATGAATAAAAATTAAATATTTTAAGGCAATTTCAATTTTATGAAAATTGAAGATCATCCTAATGAATCATTATCTTTCCTTACTTCTCCTTTCTATTAGGCAAATAGATAATAAAGAACATTTATGATCATCGATTTTGCGAGCTTTTATTATGCGCGGGTGCGTTTATCTCACGTTTTTTTGAAATGCTGATATTTCCTTAAAACTCTTATTGATATTCCAAGTTTTTCTTTATTCATTCAAAATGTTTACCAGCACTTTCTAAACAGAGGTTACAATCAAAGAGCAGTACAACATCGTTTATATCGGCGGATGAGAACGCTTGGGAATCAATAAGCGCCGAATACAATTCACAAGAAGGCAGGAAAATAGAAAATATGTTTCTATCATTGTCTGCTTCGAAACAATTTGTGGTTCTTTTGTTCAGGAATATTTTATATAATAGAATCATATATAGATACCTTCTGGTATAAAATCAAATTTTGTTCTGACATATTACAATGAATTCGGAAATTTTATCGAGCAAAAAAAAATTATATACTATATTACAATTCTTGATTGTCGTTTATGTGAACTGAACGTGATTAAAATATTTTTGTCATTCATTTAAGTGCTTTATAGAATCAATTTATGAAATTTTAAATTTACCTTTATAACTTATGATAGATTCTCATGATTTTATAGTCCATAAAAAATAATACTACGAATATTCTCAATATTGAGTAATACTAAACGCTTTATTGTTTATTTAACATATATGCTTACGTAAGTGTTCAAAGGTGAAGTAGCATCACTTCTTCTATCGATTACTCTCAAAATAATCTAGTGTATATAAGGTGTAAATGGGTACCATATATTATACTAACATATGGAAAATATTCCAGAATTTTAGTATTTTTGGCGTTCTTCTTATATTTCTCATTTAAGAATAAAAACATTCCTAAAAAACACATTATAGAGTTATAGAGTTTACTATTTATATATATATTTTATTTATTTTGATAATTACAAATAATATTCATATATCATAAAGTAATTTCAACCGTAGTCGTAAAGTAATTTTGAGATTATCTAATTATATTTAAGATATACATACTCTTGGTTAATATATATCGATATAATTCAGCAATATTATTATGAAAACTTTCTTGGTAAGTGTTAAAATGTAAATATATTGATTATAAAATTGTATTCTCATCATATAATGCAATTTATATAATTATGCATTACAGAACTATCTACTAATCATGTTTTTAATATATTTTGATTTGTTTTCATAAACATTTTGTATGATAAGTTTTATGCGGCTTTATTATTCTGTTTCTGATAAAAAAAGTTGTTTACTTTATTCTTATGTCTTTGAAGTGCAAGTAGCATAGTTTAGTAAAAAGAATACTTCGAAGAATTATTTTCTTTAACCGTCGATGTGAATTAACTTGTTATTAATACCAATTAAATAATACTGCATGCAATAACTGCATACTTCAGTTAATTATATGAAGAACTTTGTTCAGATAGGCTTTATGCGATTGAATATATTTTATTGTCTTATTTGATTATGGCTTTTGAGCTCAGTTATTTTAATTGAAGTTTAAATTAATTATAAGCTGCTAGTTATATTATTATAAACTAAATATTTTACTAATCTATAATTTTTCTTTTAAATTAATTAATTTTTGTTCAATTATGTAAGTCGATGGATAGGTCTTACAAATTATAAAATATACTTTCTTTTTTTTTCTAAATCATGTAAGATGACGGCTAGAGGATTTACAATTCTAAAAATAATACTTTACAAACAGAAATTACTTCCAAGGATTTTATTCAGGTAATCCAGTGACCGCGGTCAGTTTGTTTTGTGATGTCGTACAATAGCATCTCCGACAAAGAACACGTAATAACATCGAGGGTTTCCGAATCCTCTGAGCCCGCGAGTTCCACATTATTCCTTCGCCAACCGACCCTAATATCGCGTGATGGCCTCTATTAAAAGCTCTATAGCGCAAATATATTATCGTAATTTATACTTTCCTTCCTATTCCAAGTTACAACACGTCGGGCATTGCAAATTTTTTGATTGCCCAGTATATTTTGCCACACTCTTCATGAAATGCGAGTCTTTCACTTTTTAATGTCATGATGGATAAGCAATTTTGAAATTTTATTATTTGCTCAGGCTTTATATGCTTTGCTTCAGTAATTTTTAATATAGAATATAGAATTTTTTTTTTATAGAAAACTTAATGATAAACTTGAAAAGAACTATTATATTATTGACATTTTTGTGTTGATGAATGTTGCTCAAAAACTGATAAATTATTGTTTAAACTTCTTCATGACTGTAAAATATGTTTTCTAGATATTCTGTGATTATTGTTATGGTGCAGAAAATTATACAAGTTTCTAAAAGTGTGATAATTTTTTACGATAATTAGTTTCCGTGTACAAAGGAGTTGAATCGTATCTTTTAATTATTGTTATTATGTGCAGAAGTTTATGTATAATTACAAACTTTCATGGAAAACAAACGGTACCACATTAGCCACGTAATGTAGTGCTTATTCTGCGTTGGGACTAATTTAGCATAATTCTGTAAATTAAAATATTTGCTCCTCGTTACACTGATAAATTACACGTTATACTTCTCAAATTCAAGCTTAAACATTGCAAATGTAGAGTTTAGACTACAATTATAATTTATGACTCGGAGTACTTATTCTTGAAAATTTAGATATTTTATTCGTTTTGATCAGCACAACTCTGGTGTGTGAATTTTATAAAATCTACACTCTTAGATTCTGAAAACTGTAGGATACAATATGATATATAACAGCTATATAATAGATATAAAATAGCTATGCTATTTCTATAATTTGGTCTTTCTAGGAAATAGGATAGTAGGGTTTAATATGCTAGTGTGAGTCGCAAAAGTTCGAGTGTGCATCAGGGCACATCCCGTGCTTATCGATCGAATTATTTGCACGTACGAATACTTCATATATGATGCGTTATTGAATACATGAATATTTACCTTCGGTTGACCCTTAGGGCTACACCTGGGATGATTCGACTTCAAGAACATAGAGAGAGATATATTGGACATCCAGGGTAATTTGGTGACATAGCTGGGAAACTATTAAGTGCATTTTTAAAAAATCTACAGTATTATAGATACAATTCTCGCATAGAACAATCATTTTATGAAACCTTTGACAATACTTCTCAAGAGTAGCAATTACGATTTGTTCCATATATAAGTGTAACTAAGTAACACTCCACAAAAATTATTTTTGCAGTAAAATCAATCAGTATAATTCTCAGAGGCCAAAATATCTATTCAATAACTCAATTCAATATTTCTCCTAAATCTAAATTCTTAAAACGTATGTATGTGATCGAAATCGTAGATGCACGTGGCAAAAGTTTAAAGTACAAGATCGCTCCACCGTATATTTACGCTTGATAGACTATATTCAACATGGTCTATGGCATTTTTCCGATGGCTTATCTTGCATTTAGTTTCTTGTAGATCAGTGTATATAATATACATCTATTGTAGATAGAAACATTTATAATATAATATAAAATAATTTAACAATGCTGTTTTTAGAACAAATTATACAATTTGAAAATTATATTACTGTCTTTATTTTTACTATTATCTATTTACTATTGTCTTTTATATTTGCAGTTTGCGATCGCCCATTGGCAAGTGCATTGATGGACGCATACAATACTCGAGGGCGTACACTTGTTGTCGGTCGTCTGTCCGCAGAACAAAAGTTACTCACCGATGACGTGTGCGGGGCACTCCGAGTACTTGCAGACATGCGACCCGCAAGACCTGTGCTCTCCTGGGAATGCCCGGAGGTAACGTAACACACTGTTTACAGTTTTTCACTATACGTAATTGAATTTCTGAAATGAATTAAATCAACTTCAGAAAACATAAGATCGTAGGTAGATATATAGATAAATATAATATACAATAGATCGTAATATATGTAGGTGTATATTAATGTTTTCAATAAATACTCAGCATATTATGTTAAATTTAATTTTCACTAAATTAATGTTATCAAATTTAGTAGGTAATTAAATTTTAAAACCAGAAATAAAATAAAAAAAATCCGACACGTGGAGAAATATGTAATCATACAATGCCGTAATAAATGTGCAAAACTAATTTTTAATTCCGCAGTAGAAAAGTTGCATGCACATGTGCAACTATACAACCGCAACGTTATTAGCTGAGCAAATAAGAATATAACTAACGCCGAGAGCTTTTTGCTGAAAAATACATGCATATTTTATGTTGCCATTACTGTTGCTTTACTGTGGACTAATCCGAGCTTTTGGGATCGGTTTGATGTAATTAATAGAGTACATGTATGTACTTTATCCACTGTTTTATACGGCTCTGTTTAAGCTCAGCTTTGACCCAGCTCTCTAAATGGTGCGCAAACATAAACTATGCATAAATCGTATCAGATTATACAAGTTCAGTTTTAATTAAATTCGCTCTGTCTCTAAGTGTCGTATGTGTGTGCTAACGTGACGCCTTCATTAATTTATCGAAATGTGAATTCAATTAGGTTAATTTATCAAGTGGCTGCAGTCTGTTGACTGCAGAGTGAGATTAGAAGAGAAATGGGAAAATGACCAATGTGGAAACGGAGCTTTACTCCGATTCGTATCCAATTATCCTTTAACTGTATTATTCAAACGATAGTTAGTTATGAGGGCATTATCAAACAATAGAAGTTTAGTAGGAATAAATTCAATACTTTTTTCCCTTAGAGACGATACTAGAAAAATCCGGAAATGACCAATATGTAATAAAAGCTTCTTGGTTTATGGCGCAGGTGCCAAGACGTTTGTTCTGGGTTTATTAGGATTGCCGTAAAAGTTATTTTGACGGATGAGGATAATTGATTGGATTTGGTTTCTGTAATAACAGTAGAAGGTTTTGAACAATAAATTCAAGAGATAAACTTTGTATGTTCGATAAATGGCTAAAAACAATTTTATATAGAAATATTCAATGATCATTTGAATTTTTTAGTAAAAGCAATGTTACGAATACTAGTACTATTCAGTATTAAATTTCTATTAAATAATTCTGAGTATATGAACTATGCGTTTCAAATAAAATGTTTTCTTATTTTCGTGAGCGAGTTTTTATATTTCTTATATCTAAGACATAATTAGGGTTTTCTCTCTCCAGTTTTTCTTTGTAGTATTTGCTCTACAAATGTGACACGTGTGCCTTACTATAGGAGATTAACAGATGTCATTATGTTTCAGCTCACATATTTCGGCAATTGCATAATCCCTTCGATAGAAGACACAGTGACGGCGATAGCGGCTCTGTACGAACTAATGAGCTGGCAGAACTCCATAATAATCACAGTCGGTGAGTTCGATTTCTGACACTTTTATAGAATAAGAATGCCTTCATTCTTATGAATGGCTTGGATCTTATGAACTTATATCTGCATAAGCATATATATTCCATCAGCAATTACTGAATATGGGTAATTGCAGAAATATCATGAATACAAGGTCAGGTCGTTTTCAAATTTCTTGAAAAATATAAATGATCGGTTATAAAACATTGCGTTGCCTTGACTCTATTTGATTTCTGACTTATATTGCTTAACACACACACACACACACACACATATATATATATATATATATATATATTATATATATATATATCTTTTGACAAGTTTTTTCTTAAGTTTTCCTTTAACAATAATAGAAATTGTTTCTATAATTATATATGACTATTAAATATGTTTTTTTATTAAATGTTCAAATAAAATATATAATCATACAAACTATGACTTTCTGAAGCTAGTGAAAAATATATTTGATGTAATGCTGTTGTAACGCGAAAGCACTGTAGTAAAATTATCCTCCATATATAAAATTATAAATCGTATACTGAAATGCAAATATTATCCTGACGTTTTACCTCCATAGTGAAATATCAAAGAGCAGAATGTGTTTCGCGCCGGTGCTCTTGTTATTATTAGCATAAATTTAAATGCTTCAATGAGAATTTTATTCCTTATCACTTAAAGGAGCTCAACATATTTTGAGGGATAGTAGGATCAAAGCATTGTGAGTATTTAGATACTTACGTTATTCATTATTCATCAATTAAATATTTATCTAATAATGACTTTTAATATTTGTTATAATATTTTTTTACTTCTTTTTAATAAATTCATGAAATTTAATCAATATGTGGTAGATCTCGGTACTCACAATGATAGATGATAACGAATGATTCACATATTTTCAAAGCGATATATAAAAGCTAGTAGAAAATGCATTCATATAAAATATTGCTGAGCGCATGGAGCAAATATTACGCAAAGTTATATATATATATATATATATATATATATATATATACATGTATATATAGTGAATTTTGGATATTGGTGAACAGTGGTAATATTTTCATTATTCACATAAAATAATGATGATATAATCGTATGAAAAATATCAAGATGTTATTTTGAATTAGATTTACAAATGTATGTTACAAAACTTGAAATAATTGACACAGATAGATTAGCTTCCCGATCTGTTAATTTTTTTAAACTTAAGTTATTGAATATATTGCTTATCAAACTAATTTATCAACTTAGATTTTGATTTCTATTAACTGGTTATTGCTATTATTATACTCATAAAGAAAATCTTCAATTACTTCATAATTATTTAAAATACTAATAATAATAGCTCAAAATGAAATTTCAATTAAATCATAATTAGACAAATTAATAATAATCTTATAATATTATTTTCTGAATGACTCAAAAAGTGACTTTTTATAAATTGAACTAAATTTCTTCAAGTTAAAGTTATAACACTAATAGAATTTTTATTACAATATTCATAAGTTGCATATCAAAACCGTACCTTGAAAATTTTCATAACATAATTTAACTTTTAATAATCTTTTGTTTTAGATATTTATGACCTTGTTAGTTTCATCAAAACATATTTACTTTTATATATTAGCGTATAAAATTCTCGTTGGCAATGTCCTAGAAAACTTTGATCATAAACATATGAAGAAATTTGATGTCGTTTCAATATAAATATATATTCTGTTTTATGGAAATAAAATATTATGATGAATAGCAGAATAAGATGACTTGTGTTGTAAAATGAATATAAAACTGCAAATATTGTATGTTAATGGAAAGCACTTTGATAAAAAGTATCATTAATGTAATGTAATGCATTTCTTGAGACATATATAAATTTCTCTATTTATTAAAAACTTAAATTCTCTATTATAACAATGTGTTTTGTTTTAAATTTACAAAGTTTATACAAAACAAACTCTAGGAAAATAATTCTATAGCATAAGTATATATACATATATATATATATATATATATATATATATATATATATATATATACAAATTATAATTAAATTCCGAATAAGCACTTTATTTTATAGACATGTTTGTAAACAGTCCGTTTCAGTACAATTCTTCTTAATCTCATAATAAAAATAGATACTGATTTCCTCTCAACATTTTGCTCTCTTTACTTATAAAACTTTTGTTTTATGGAAGATGATGAAAAAGTTTCTTATTTAATAGCTTTATCGGATTTACTGCTCTTTCATTCGTTTTGTTCTACGTCTGGAGATTATATACCGCAAAATGGTTTTATGATAACTCAGACGGTAAATTAATATTCATTACATATCATTAGTATTAAAAATGAGCCTCGTATCTTTTATAAAGACTGTAATGGAAATAAAAAGAAATCGGCGTTCGAGAAAATAATGGTTGCTTTTAAAAAACAATTTTTATGATAGCAAGTGATTCATGTTATTTTAATAAGAAAATCATTCATCTATGAAGAAAATCAGAATAGACTGTAATGTTGCTTGAATATTTATTATTGGACACTATTTAAACTTTGTTATGCATCAATTTTCTAGCAAGAAATTTAAAATATTTTGAATCAATATATTAGAAATTGAAAAGACAAATTCCATATGCACTTTTTATGCTTTATTAAATATTTTATAATATTCTATAACCATTTTTCACATTTTGCAATCGTTACTTATTTTATCCATACCACGTATTTCTTCCGTGCCAGTTCCGTCGAATCATGGTTCTATCATAATAATAAATGTTTAAGGTTGTAACATAGCAAAAGGATGTTTGTTTCATTTGTTCTACTAAATTAGTATTACAGTGCCATTGTAATAATATCACATTGAGAGTAAACCGACGTTTGTTAGAAATTCAATGGCTTGTGATAATATTAGTTAGCACTTAGTAAAGCTACTATGGTGCTAATGCAAATTATGCAATTCCATGTAATGAGGTTATGTCTGTCATTTAGGAATTACGCGCATTAGGTACATTTAATAACATGAGCCAAAATAATAAATCAATAATAAGGTACAAGCTATTTTGCATTATTTATTAGTTCCTATATTGGTTCGAACATTTAAATTATTCTTTCAATAATTTCAAATATGACTCAGTTACTTTATAGAAAATTGTGGTTATAGAATAAACAGATCTTTATCAGAACAGATTTTGGCTTCGATGGTTTATGTAATATATTAGTTTAAATATTGTGTTTATATTACTCCCAGCAGTTTGTATCAAAATATAAAAATATTTGCCGTATGAAGCAATAATAATACTTTAATACTCTAACAAAATGAATTTTTTTTTCAATTTTAGATGAAGGATGGTGGCCCAAAATGGCTACTAAGATTCAGAAAATTATATCGCCTTCAATAGTGATTATTGGTGTGGACGAACTAATTGAAGATGATCTCTATCAAGGTACCTCAATAATTCATTTTTGCTCAACCCATTTTTTATACATTATTCAATTATTTTTGCCCTAGCTCAAGTTACACATTTCTTATTTTCATCATTCAATACGGAGGAATTTTTATCTTCCCTCGTTTACTATAAAATTTTCTAGTATCAATAAAAGTTTCTATCTCTAAACTGACATTGATTTATCGTCTCAATTCTGAATTATTGATCAAAACTGCAACATATCCTCAAAGCATCAATTTTATTTCCAGTTATCATAATATGCGCATCGATGCGCTCGGTAGCCGGCCGTAAAATCCTCGCCGAGTTGAACGGTCTGGATTTATACCAGAGCAAAATACTGATCGTGGACGTGAACAGTGCAGTGTTTTACGACCAAGATGTTACAGACAGTTTGTCGACTAGTCAACTTAACGGTACATTTAATATATCAAATGAAACGATAACAAGATTTGGTGCCGGCGACGATTTGAACGTAATTTTAAAAGACGACATCAAGAGGAACGTTTTAGTGCTCAGCGCTTACGCGTTAGACCAAGAAGTTTCTTTTAAACATGAGTTGTTTGAACGTCTGGTTATATTAGACAAAGTTGTCGATTCGAATGCAAGCTCCAGGTTTACCTTTACGGTGCTTGACTGGAGAAAAGATGAAGGCATGCACAGATTTTCGAGCGAATGGAGACCGATATTGAGTTTGGATTTGCATAGAGATTTAACGAATGCGGCAAATGTTGGCTTGAATTGGACGCGCGTGACCATGCGGGAAGGAATGAGCTCGGAGGTCCTTGCGACGAGGATGCAGCCTTATTTTGCGGAATGGCTTACGAGAGAGGTAATAAATTTATAAAACTATCTGCTATTAAATTTATATTGCAACGTTTTATAACAACATTCAGTTATACAACTTCACATGACATTTGACTTACTTCTACAAATTGGTAGATAAGCTTTAAGTGTTTTTTATCTAATACGTGATGTCTTATTTCAAATTTTATATATATATATATATATATATATATATATATATATATATATATAATTATATATACAAACATATATTTACACAAACATGTGAAATTACGACATTTAACTTATATCTGTTATTTCTGATTCACTTGAAATAAGCAACAAGGTTAGCTAGCACAATGTAAAGCATACTATAAAAATAATTATAAATTAAATTGAACCTTACATTTTATTTTAATCAATTCTCAGTCATTTTCAAGTAACACACGTGATCAATTTATCAGAAAGTATCCTGATATTCGTTTTCAATTTCCATCGACGTTCGAGCTCGGCTGTACTTTATGTTACTATGTAAACCTCTCCGTTTTATATCATTCCTTGTACTAGTGAAGACAAACTGCATTTGTGCTTGCTCATAAAATAGGAAAAGCTTACAGCAACGGATCAATTCGCAGATATAAATTTTGGTTGTTTAGACAAGTTTATAGATAAGAATCCTTTACTGAGTGTACACAGTCTAATCTTACTCGAAGCATTATCGTAAATCTAATAAAGAAACTTCTAAGTTAAAATAAGAAAGTATTTGCTTGTTGTTCAAGTGTGCTTAAATATAATACTCGAGTAGAGTTTATTACATTGATATTACACAATTTACTTTGAGAACTTTTGGCAATTGAAATTTATTGAACACAGCCAAATATAAATCATGGATTTATTAATATTTGCGAATTGCTTGGGAATTTATGCTCTGAAATTTTGTGTTGTATAAATATAATATTTATTACACATCACATGGCGCTTTATATACAATGATACCTAGTTAAATTCAACCTTAATATTACAAGTATTATCTTATTATAAAATATTCAAGTTTTGATAAAGTATAGTATCAACATTTTGGTATATAAAGCTATATTTGCTGGAAACGCTCAAGTATCTTCCAAAGTATTAAATAATGAATGCATCTTTGCATTCAGAACCAGAATAATATTCATTAATTAAGTAACAAACTTCTAAATGCATTGCATTTACCCAAGGGATTAACGCATTCATACAATTTATGCATCATAGTACAAACTTGCAGTGTCTATTGTACTAAATACAATCCGTATTTTTAAAGTTATTGAATCCATTATTCTTGTCAAACTTATAGTGTACTTCTATAGACAAATATACATATATATACATATATATATATATATATATATATATATATATATATATGATATAATTTAGGTACCTAAACCCGGTAAAACTTTGTGTCTGGATATAAGTACCGTTATCTGCACCTGTATAAATACCTAGATTGACACCCAAAGGTTCAGAAATATTAGAAGATCTTTCACAGAATAGTACTGCTAGGACGTCAAATATGATATATAAATACATGCAGGATTTTGCATATCTAGATCTTTTGCAATAATGGACATAAGGCCTTATGATCCTCTTATATATAATGAAATTAATAAAGCTGATTTTGTATCAATACTGCTATATATAATTACCCTGTATTTCAGGTTTTTGGTCTCGGCGCAGATTGCCGCCCGTTTTGCATTGGACGCGGAGGCCGACAAGCCGCTCCATGGAGTGTAGCAGCAGCAACCGGAGCCGCCGTATTAGCTGTGGCGGCAGTAGTTGCAGGAGTGGCAGTTGCGGTCCGAAATTATGCCATCAGGACACGTTTGTCTAAAGGACCCAATCGTGTAGTTCTCACAGCTTCGGATTTTGTGTTTCCGCAGCCTGCAGATGCCAGAAGAGTAAGTTTAGATGCAAACAGATCTATTCCAATACATATCTATAAAAACATACTTTATAACGAGTATAACATATATTTGGCACAATTATCACAGCAAGGTCTTGGATAAGCGCGAAACAAGTTCTTGATAAAGTGGAAACCCAAGTTATTAAATGTTCATTGTTATATTTGCTTTTATAATTTAATTTGGTAATACCTCAAAAAGTCTAACTTGTAAAGTGAGATTTTTCTGCATTTTACAATATCTAATAATTTAGTGATTTTCATACCTACACAACGAATAGCTCATTTGATTATACAAATATACTTAAATTTACTCATAAATAAAAAATGATTATAAAATAATAAAAAATAATAAAGTAATGTAAACCGCAATTTCGCAATTAATAATATTTATGAAAGAGGTCACGTTATTAAACTGTAGCATGATCGAATTCCAATATATTATCTCGAAGTAATAAACAACTTATTCGTATTTGTCATACAATCAGTATACTCATTTTACCAACATTATATTTTATATTTCTCAGTTCTATAATATGTCAATTACATGTTATTGATAACAAATCATGTTACTTATTACTTCCTATCAATAACATTACTGGTAGCTAGAGGAAATACAAGATCAAATAATGTTCTGTTATATATTGTAGTGCTTAATCAAACAGACGTGCTTTTATTCGCTTACATAGTTGGAAATGACTGCGAAAGCTAAAGTAGTACATAATTCTTAAGGGATTTCTTATTATATATTTTATTATTTATTATCATCCAAGTATTGATCACAAAATATATGAAAATTGGACGTGTCGCTTTGAGTACCTAGATAAAATGTATAACTAGCTGTAAGTGGAATTCTGTCTTGAGGCAATTATGGCATCGTGCCTTAAGGCAAATTGCTGGAACTTTCCGCACCGTAACGAAATGTTCGAGGAATACTGAATGTTTTCAAATAGATTATTATAAATATTGTAACATTGTGTAATATTTATAAGAATTATATAAATCGAATTGCAGAGTTGAAATTATTTCTAAAGTATATTAGAACTATAGTCAGAATTAAAAATAAAATCTGAAATATTTTCGATATACAAAATACTAAAAAAAAAAAAAAAAAAAAAAAAAAAAAAATGGAACAAAATTTTTTTTTTCAAAATCAATTATTTTGTTAAGACAAGCAGAAACTTCTTTGAATCATTTAAATCGGACGCTTAGTTCTCTCAAAAACTGCCATTTTTTACATATTTAGCTCCGTATCTTCGAAATGGCTGGGCCTGCCTTTGCTAAAAACTAATAAACACTTCTCCCAATCATTACTAATTGAATGTTTTTTAGATCATACAAATCGGATACTCCGTTCGCTCAAAAATTTGATTTCTATTTTCTGCACTCTTTGCTCCGTATCTCCGAAACGGCTGGACCTGCCTTCGCCAAAAACTAATCAGCTCTTTTCCCAATCAATAGGAATCGAATGTTTTTTGAACCATTCAAATCAGTTGATCCGTGCGCCCTAAAACGTGACTGGAAATTTGTATCCACACATACATACACACACACACACACACACACACATCCATTTTTTCTGAGGTATGCCAAAACGTTCAGAAACCTTCAAAACGTCGAGAAATGTAAAAATTTTCAATTCCGATTTTCGGCCCATTACAATAACTTACCCTACGGGAAGTTAATAATATTATAAGAATTATGTTCAATGCAATTACATGATAAGCCTCATATCATATACAGATTTTACATTTTTTTTATAAAATGATAAATTAAATCATAACACTTAAATTTTTCAATATTGGCATTAAATTAAAACTAAATTATCTACATATATATAAAAAATATGTCGGGTTTTCTTTCCTGACGATTTATCTTCAGAACGTACAAATCGATTTCGACAATTTTGCATTTGTTGGAAAGGTCTCGGGCTCCGCAAGGTTTATAGCTAAGAGAATTAGTGGTGCCTGGCATCGTGCCATTTAAAAAATCATTGTTTTTCACATGGGCAGTTACACGTTGCCTGCTCACGAGTTGGAAAACCATCCGCTTTGTTTGTGTTAACGTCAGACCAAAAAACAAAAAATGTGGTTTACCAAAGAGCACTTCAATGAAACGGATAATTTGCGGATTCACTTTCATTTACTTATAAAAGTTCAACTAAAAAACACTTCATTTTTGTATTCGAAATAAATTCATTACTGTTGTGCAATAAAATCAATTTTTTCCTTTTCAAATATAAAACAAACAAAAAATTTCTTCATCTTTCTCACTAAACCATCTGGTGGCGAAACGGAGTTCGTCGGGTTTGCCAGTATTTATATATATATATATATATATATATATATATATATATATATATCATTCATTTTTAATAAAGATTTGTCCTCTTTTCTTTGATATATAAAGCATTTTCTAATTTGTACTTCGTGTATTTCGATGCATTTCAATCTCACTGACAAAGCAATTCCATTACCTCCAGGTGGATGAAGGGATCGAAGCGATGCTTTGCTGCTGGCTGCAGCAATTACAAGAATTCGGCGGTCCGGACATCAACAACGTCGCCGCCTTATGTGCGCCTCAAACGACATCCGGTGCAGCAGGCGGCGGAATAGCTTCCGGACTTGCCGGACTTTTACCAGGCTCCACTGCTCCGGGAACGCTTTCGCAACAGAGCGGCAATACTTCGCAGGATAAACCTGATCTTATCAAAGGATCAGTGGGATCCTTGAGAGCACTCGGAGCACTTGCAGGCATCCAACCACCGATCATGACATCAACAAAGCTTGCTTCGAGTAGTGGATCCTTGACTAAGAATAATTGTACGTCGGGGGATTTTAGAGCACGATATAATGTAAGTACTCTTAAAATAACGAATGTATTTGAAAAAGATAGTGTTTGATACAGATGCATTTCTTACTGTTAAAAATAGATATAAAAATGTTCCCATTTAATTATGGTTATACAACATTATAAAAATAGTTTTCTCTTCATTAATTACTGAAATAAGATTATAAATGCAGCTGCAGAAAAATTATTTATTCTCTTTCGAAGCAAAGTGCTTGTAATGAATTTTACATTAAAAATAAATAAAAATACAGTCAGCATTTTTATAGTATGCGTATTGAAATAAGTCGGAACTAAGGTAATGTATAATGAGAAAATATTTACTGAGTACACGTGGGAAATGAAGTGTAAAATAAAAATATTCCTCTTAACGTAAAATAAATTGTAAATTGCTTACGTGACTAAAAATAATATCTTGTTTCATGCTAATATTTTAAGGTAGAAGTGAAATTATTTTTTATGAATTGTTACTTACATTTAAAATAATATCTAATGTAAAAATTTTCTGGTTATTTCAGGGAGACCTTGTGCAAATGAAACAGTTGCCTGATGGTCCACAAGAGTTACGTGCAAAAGCCATGGATTTTCTCGTAACTGCACACGGCCTACGACATGAAAACTTGAATCCGCTCATAGGTATATTAAATTTTCAATATTGTTTATTATAAAGTATTAGTTACTGCCATATTATTTTGAAAATAATTAGTTTTAAAAATTAAAATGTTTGGTAAATTTTTGCTAAATATTTAATAGTATAAGGGTTTTAGTTGAAAAATCTTATACGTATTTCTATTCGGAATTATTATATTTTTAATTATTCAAATATATATTTATAGTATATTAAAACTATTTTTTTATATATTTTGGTTAGGATTTTTACCCGATCCAGCATACTCTGCTTTGGTCTTCGAATGGTGTAGTCGCGGTTCTCTTCAAGATGTTTTAGTTATGGATGAAATTAAACTCGATTGGTCATTTCGATTGTCTCTCCTTACGGACCTAGTCAGGGTAAGTGAATTTCTACTTTCATTTATTAATAAGATATCTTCGTTTTCAATTATTATAAAAGTTTTCATTCGGTGTGATCACTCTGCTTAGTTTAATTTTTATCACGTATTTGGTTCTCGGAGCCATACTATACCTTTTGTTCAAAAACTTAAAATCTATGGTATACCACATTATCATTTATCAAGTTTACATATCGATACATCGTACAGCAAGTTGTAAATCTTATTCTGAGTTAAATTGAGTGAAGTAATGTGTTGTTAATAATACATTAACAAACATGATCTGGTTTACTTTGCGATGTGCATGAAGCGTGTTTTATGTACACACAATATAAATTTGCTACTAGCGAACTTCCACCCACATAGTAAATATATCCATTATAATATTACAAGCGTAGCTATCCGATATTTGTTAAAGTTCACTTTGCAAACTCTCTCTCTAACCCGGATAGGTTTTTCATGATAAAGTTCAATGATTGATATATAGGTGCGCGTTGCAAATACTTAGAAAAAAGGGATCAAGTTTATAGCAAATACTTGTTTTTAGTCTCGGTATTTAATGAATGTATTAGAAAAATATAATCATGAACAAATAGTTAATCTTACCGTCATCTTTTTTCTTATCCCAAAAACAATATGATTTAGTTGTATATGTACAGTAATAAACTCAAAACAGATTCAAATGCCTTCATATTGAACGATATAAGTTCATTGTCTGAATATATTTTCTAAATCATTTTTCTCCTCTCTTCTTTCCGAGCGGCTAAAATTTAAAATCATCTATCATTCATACTAGACATTTTACCTTATTAGAAACAGTGCACTATTTCCGGGACAATATTTATTTATTTAAACAGAAAAAACAAGTTTCTGAAGATGGGTTTCATAGTAACATGAATTCTTATTGCATACACAATTTTAAACGCAAATATTTACTTATGGACACAATATAAACATGCAAAATAATTTCCATAGATCTGCACTGTTCATACTTGTTCATCCACTTTTGTGCCCCGATATTAATTGAAAAACGTAACGTGATAGCCTGAAATCGTATGCAGAACAAACACAGTATCTTTCTGAAAATTAATGAACTTTGTGCACTATAACCATAAAATACTCTCACGGCAAAACATTATTCGATGAACACTTAACGCTCATGCAGAATTAATGAGGCGGTTCTGAAACGACCTCTCTGTGGCACAAACGACCGCCAGATAACAGGTTTCGCCTACTGAGGAATCGATATCCAATTACAATACTGATATTATCGCTGATTCTTGAAAATTAATTTTCCGATATCTTGTTAACCACGACGATATTTGAAGAATACGTATTCAAATTGAAATTTCCATGCTTCCTTTGCGATACGACAAAAAGTTTGTTCGTGGAGAAAACACAAACACGATCTATATATGGTAGTTCATGGGTAGTTGGATAAAATAATGGGAATAGATTTTTTTGAAATATTATATTTATAATAAATAAACGAGTTTTCTATTTTACTTGGATTACATCAAAATATGCAAAAAACTTGAAACAGACTTAACGAGTTCAATGCTGATAAATCGCGTCATGATTTTTTTTTGTTAATGATCAATAAATAAAATTCTTATATAAAAATTTAAAACTTAAATACCATTACTATTTTCTAATTACTTCTAGTTACAGCAAGCCATATGATTTTCTAACAAGTAATCCAATTAAAATTGATTGCAAAAAAGAAGTTTTAATTAATTATTCACCAACTTCTCTAACTCTGTTATGAATTCATTGGACGATATCAATAGTAGTTAATTGAAAGTTCCAGGCAAAGTTAGCAACATCTCTGATTTAATTATTAAGTTTCATTCCAAGTTTCTACAGGATGTGTAAATTGTATCTTGTATATAAGCATGTTAGGAAAGTTCTTCTCGAACGAAATATTTATCAATGAATCAGACGGGAACATATAACTAAGACGAATTTCGGCTTCCGAGTATTGGCAGTTAAGGGACTTTTGTTAATGTTTGAGCGCTCTTTAATTAGACACTGATAGAGGAGGAACTACTTGAATATTTCATAGAATGTTGGGGTATTAAAACTGAGAACTAGATTCTTTGATGAAGAAAAGAAATGTAAGGTATTATGAAACGTTAGACTGCTTTTATTTGCTTGTCTATGTATATATTGCCAATCAAAATCCGCATGCATAATATTTTTTTGCCAAACGAAATCAACCTACTTCTGCATTATCTTCATTAAATAACTGGAAATAAGCCAATAAACAAAAAATTCGTTGATATAAATTTTAACATGTACAATATAATACCCGCGGGTGATTTAATTACAAAAATTCATGAAGCTTAGAACATGATTGGTGATATAATGAATAATAATTCAAAATTCTAATGTGATAATAAGTAAAGTTTTTCTTTAATTTATTAACAACAATCATATTAATAACATTCTATGTTCTTTTAATTTACATTAATCAAGTAAAATTATATTTATCCCAATCGGTAAATGCAATTAGATACAAATTATTAGACCAAGTTAATAAGCCATAATTTTTTAAGTCTTCTTAATTCTGGTGCCATAATTTTTTAAGTCTTCTTAATTCTGGTGCAAGGACCAGCGGAGCAACGAGTGAATTAAGGTGATTTTTTAATTTGTGATGATAATTAGCGGATCTTGTTTTATAAAGTGTTTAATATATAACATTTGAAGATCATCATGCAAAGTTTTATTGCATTCTGACTAGTTTTGATTGAATTTGTAAAAAAGTTCTTGATTATTCTTGTTGATTATATCAATTATTTATACAAATGGCATCTTTACTTAGGCTTCGATGCTGAAAATTAATTAGTATATTCACTAGGAATTGAGAAAGCTGTTAACGAAATATTTCGAATGTAGTTCAAAATCTTTTCTTCATTAAAAATATGGAAATTTTAAAAACATTGAATTCCTATATTACACCGAGACAGATATCAATTATCTAACAATAAGTATTACTGCAAGATTTATTAACAATTGAAAATACTCTTTGTTGTATTGGTATACAATTTATCAGGAATAATTAAAAATATGGATGCAAGTATTTGAAAAAATATGATTTAGTTGTATATGTACAATATTAAACTAAAAACAGATTTAAATGTCTGCATATTGAACGATATAAGTTCATTGTCAGAATATATTTTCTAAATCATTTTTCTCTTCTCTACATTCCGATCGGGTAAAATTTAAAATCATCTATCATTTGGACTAGACATTTTACCTTATTAGAAACAGTGCACTATTTCCGGAATCCGTGGTCAAACTTCAAAATTCAAAATAGAATGTAGTTGGTGTTGAAAATAACTATTCTACCATTGTGTTGATCAAGTATATTTGCGATTTCTTGGGGATTTTTCTGTTGATGTTATTTGCAAGACCAATTATGTCTTTGAAGTGAGTTTTCTCAGAAATTTTTGCTGCATCTAGAAAAATGTCATATTAGGAAATGTGTGCCAGCAGCGTATCATGTTTACTTGGCATTTTTACTTGAAAAAAAAAACTTTATGTTCACCAACAAGACAACTTCGTTCGTATTCTCAATCCTGCGGACACATTTAATTGGCCGTGTTCTTGTTGTCTTCGCCGGCTTGCGCTGTTGTCATTCCGCTAAGTACACGGTGCGCGTTCTCTATTTGATTACGTATTCATTTATGCGAGTGCAGACGGTGTAGGGCGCATTTGGGAATTGTTTAAACAGCGGCGACCTGATATTCGCGTCCTACGTGACGCACTCGTCGTGACTTTATTAAACGCTTGCGGTTAAATCGCACGTCGGCTACGGTTGGCAGCAGATCATTGGAACGCGATGGAACAATCTCATTTGACGTTTTCCGTTTAATTAATGCAACTGTTGTAACAATGATAATGGTTTATAGATCAATATTGCATTGTGATTGAAACATATTGCATTTTCGTCCTAAGCATTGTAAAATTATTAAATTTTAAATTCAATTTGTTTTTGTCAGACACTTAAGGGGCACAACTAGTGTGAAATTTCAAAAAATCGTATTTTCAATTTTTCCATATTTCGATAAGTTATACCTTTAAAAATAACATACCAAAATTTTAAATCGATATCTTAAACAGTTTTTGAGTTACAGCCATTTAAAGAGTATATATATAGTATATAGTATAACGATCATTTAATCTTTAAACGCGTTTTTCTCAAAACAGCATTTTTCGAATTTGCTGCAGCGATTACTCAAAAACAAATGATCCGATCACTATCAATTTTTTTACATGTTCTATATATAGTTCTCCATAAAATGAACTATCGATTTTTTGATCGGATTAAAAATCGAATTTTGGTAGCGCAAAAATGACCAAAATTTTGGGTAAAATTCGACTTTTTTAAAAAAAAACGCTGTCATTTTGTGGAAATCACAGGTCACAATAGAAAATAAACTCCTAATATACAAGACAATTATTAAACCAATATGGTCTTACGGCTTACAACTATGGGGTGCGGCCAGTAAATCGAACATAACTATTCTACAAAGGTTCCAAAATAAAATTTTGAAGATATCGTGAACGCTCCAAAATACGTTCCCAATTGGTTGATACATCAAGATCTCAGAATTCGAACTATAGAAGCAAAAATTAGTCTTTACTGCACCAGATACAAAGCTCGTCTAAGTCGTCATCCAAACGTATTAGCTTTAGATCTGCTCAAGCCTTTTCCACCAACGCGTCTCAAAAAAAGAATCTGCAATGATTTACTACAAAATATAACTTGAAATCTATGAAGGCGCTATCGCAGGATAGCGATCCTTCTCACGCTGTCAATTAATATATAACTGGAACAAATGTAGCTGAATGTACTTTGTATAGTTTGCTATGTATAATAATAAAAAAAAAATTGTCAATTTTTCATTTTTTTATCCACGTAGAAGGCCGGAATCACTGCAGCAGTGAAGGGCCTTTTTTTGTCGCGCCATTGGAGATCGACGATAACTTAAA